TATATATATATATATGAATCACTTACTTGGGCTAATTGCGGCAAAAGTGGCAGAAGGTCAGCACGCAGTGCGTCTGGTTCCAAACATCGAGCGAACTCACCAAGCCGGCTAGCTGCTGCACGTCTAACCATGGGTGTGTCGTCGTTGCAAAGTTGCCTGAATGTCTGCCTCAGGTCTGTTCGTACGGCATTGGGCGAATGACGATAAATAACACTAAAAAGTCCACAGGCGGAAGTTCGACTAGTGAACCATTCGCCAGTGGCAAGTCGCTTGACTAGAGGTAGAAAATGTGCCCCAAGATCCTACAAAAAACGAAGGCCACAGAGGAGATCGATGAAATCGGGAAAGTGCTCCTGAGCAAGTTGCGAATCATTCCAGCTAGAAGTAGATCCAATTAACGCGAGAGTAAAACATGACGCAACTGAGCTAACTAGCATCTAGTCATACAGACAGGTACTACGGTGCAACTCGAGGATAATTGACTGACTCAAAACCAGTTGGATAATTTCTTAACCTAAATACAAAACATTTAAATTATCTCCGAAACATCTAGCATTATGTTGATGCTAACAGGGAACGGAATTGTGAACTCCCGAGAAATTGGCATTACTCACAGAGCTTTCTTCTGAAGGACTACAGTGACTCCAAGGGAGCAGATCTGCTGATAAAATACACTAAATATGATCCCACTCCGCCCGAAAATGCGAACAAGTCGACACCGTGAGAACGAGACAGTAAAGTTCTCAAAATAACGACAGCGGCTCGTTTGAGTCGCCTGTTCACTAATTTAATATGCAAGACAAGGAAAACAGCAGGACGATTCAGAAATTCTATCATTTCCTGAAATCATTAGCCTTGTCGATGTCATGAGTTTTACGTAAATCCGGTTTATAATTCCAGCATCAAAAAGGTGAAACAGTAAAGCGATTAAAACGCATAATATCGTACTGCAAATTAAGCTCTGGAATGAATTTTTATGCACACGATAGGTTGGACTTTCTGAGGACTCACAACAGTCAAATACGCCTGGGTCCCGAAGTTACAGAGCCCACCCTCCACAAACTCACTAGTGAGTGCAATAGGGTTCTCAAGTATCGGATAGACCATGTTCCAGAGTAGCAACAGTGAAATGAAGCAATGAGTTCGCCACCTAGAAATATGGAGCTGACTGTTCGACTTGGCAGAGCTTGCTAACTCCACCGAAGAAGTCATTAGGTAGGCTATGTTGACTCTGAAGCTGGTCTCCTGATTATGCTGACTTAGGAGGATGACGTCAGAAACTGAGCGGAGGCATATGTGATATTTCAGTTGTCAAACGATAGCCGACTATATCTATTGAAATTCGTCAGTCCAGAGAATTATTGCGACAACTCTAACAGTAGCTTGAGTATACACAACTGAAGCTCATTGAAACACTGACGCATAGACTGAGTAGTCAAACACCAGCAGGTGAAAGAAAAAGAAAGAAAGCGTTCAGCTGTAGCACCCTTCCAGTGCCTAGCTGCCATGTCACCCGAAGGAAGCACGAGGACTGGGATACTGTCAGGTTGCCCAAGCCTAAACAGGGGAAGTCGACTGGCGGAGGTAGCATTCGAACCTTCCGACCTTCCGGTCAGTAAATTCGCGCTCTCACCACTTGGGCCATCTTGCCCCAGATGAACCTTCTGTTTCCCCATCAGATGCAGTCAAGACCACACTTTCTGGTCACACCTTTGACTCCCGATTCAACTGGTACGAAGATACGTCCAAAAGTGATTTTAAAAAGTCCGTTGATGATGGATCGAAAGTCAGATTGTTGCTGAGATGGCTCGGCACGCTGGAGCATGAACAGTACACGAAATTCATCCTCTTCAAGATGAACCAGCAGTGCTGACGACTTCTAATAAAAATGAAACAGCTGTGCACTAATTTGTCGAAATATTGATAGCTCATGTGAATTTATTGGTTGTTGATCTGTTCACCGAGCTTGGCAACTGATTTGCAGATGTTTCGTCACCACCCGAGGAAACATCATTAGTGCGCCGTTGGGTGGGCGCAGCTATGCAAAGCTTCGCCGTTTTTCAGCATAAATTACCATCAATTAAGCGCGCATAAAAAATTTTCTCGGAACCCGAAGCGAGCCACCTAGTATCAGGAGCAGTTCGTACTCTCCTAGCGATAGTTGTCATGCTCCGCTAGACTAATGATCAAGGCCCTGTGCCGCACCCGGCCATTAAATGTCATTGAGGTCAATAACCGCGTACACGCTCACAAGATGAGCTGTGACCCTGGTCCGACTAGCGTGATGCACTGCCACTAGCCGTATAGAAGCAGTTAAACGAATGGCAACTGGCAAAAAAAGAATGAAGACCTTTGCTCGAAGCTACGATGATCTGTTCCCGAGCTTGGCAACTGATTTGCAGATGTTTCGTCACCACCCGAGGAAACATCATTAGTGCGCCGTTGGGTGGGCGCAGCTATGCAAAGCTTCGCCGTTTTTCAGCATAAATTACCATCAATTAAGCGCGCATAAAAAATTTTCTCGGAACCCGAAGCGAGCCACCTAGTATCAGGAGCAGTTCGTACTCTCCTAGCGATAGTTGTCATGCTCCGCTAGACTAATGATCAAGGCCCTGTGCCGCACCCGGCCATTAAATGTCATTGAGGTCAATAACCGCGTACACGCTCACAAGATGAGCTGTGACCCTGGTCCGACTAGCGTGATGCACTGCCACTAGCCGTATAGAAGCAGTTAAACGAATGGCAACTGGCAAAAAAAGAATGAAGACCTTTGCTCGAAGCTACGACCGCTGGCTTCTGAGTGATCCGCAGATTGAGTGGGTGTCCAAGTTTAATTCGAAGCCGAAAACTCATCGGCGAAAACTCCAAACGTCGTGAGCGCAACCAACCGAATCCTGGCTGAAAATCCTCCAAGTGAGCAACCCCACAACCGCAAACGTGGAATACAACGGAGGAGTAGGTGAGCTTGAAAACCCAGAGGTGAACGATAGTCACTTTACCTCATCGGTATTCGTAAATTTATCGGGACTATGGTGTAAAACATGTCCGCTCGCCATTGTTTGACCCATAGTCAAATGGCCGAGATGGACGCTTCATGGGCACCATAAATGGAGTCCAAAGGAGAGGAATGGAAAGGTGATGTCTTGCAAACGTCCCGGATGAAATCTCGAGCGACGCCGACTTGCCTGATGTGGTGCCACCCGCACGACGGAAGCTTCAAAAAACCTTTGACAGTATTAACGAAAAATCAACTGTGACATCGCAACACGGGAGTGGAGGAACAACCTAACCGAAACCACCGCGTGCTCCTTGATCGAAGGTAAGATAGAGTTGGTTCGCGGATAAAGCAGCAGACGCTTTTGCCTGTTTGAAGCGTCAAATACAAATAGTGTATTTCTGGTGGTTGTCTTCATGGATGCATTAGCTTAGGAGGATCAGAAACAGTTTGGCTAAGGTGTAGTCGTTATTTCACCAGTGAAACGCGGAGATCAAACGCCCCAAAGATGAAGACTAGAAAGCGTAACGAGTCAGTCAAATGCAAGACAAGTGGACCACAGCGACGGTAACAGATCAGTCAAGTGGCGGAAATAAAAATTCCAAAAATAGTTATCAGAATAACCTACCAAATAAGAAGGGGCAAACTTTGTCACAGCACGAATTGTGACAGACCAATAAGGCTACGGGAAAGTTGCCCCCATTTCACCAATCACAAGTGATATCAAATTCCCCCTAAAAAACTATATAAACGCAATAACGTAGGGAGGATCCACGAAGCTAACTGTGCAATGATGTTCCATCGACTGCTGACGAAACGTCAACAAGCAAATTGCCAAGTAAAGCGAGCAAATAAACAGCAACCTTATCTACAACCAAATGAAGCTCTGAAATTTAGAGCCTTGAAGAACAATCCAAAACTGCTAGCCCTTTGGCGAGAGAACAACTTACTTTGGGGGAGAAGCTCGGTGCGAGCGCACGCAGTGTCTCAATGGCCTTCTCTCGGACAACTGTCTCTTCAACGGAGGCCAAGCCCTCCAAAGGAGGGAGGAGGCAATAAACGTATTCGGGACCACCGACCAACGGAACAAACTCTGCCAGCTGTTGCGCCATCTCACGTAACACCTCATCTTCGTCGTAGATGATGTCTGCGAGGAAAGGTATCAGTTCATTTCTTGTTCGCTCTGGGCCCAAGGCAAGCGATATCGTAGTGAGCTTCTTTACACTAGCCAGTCTAGTCTGCATATCGTCATTTCGCAGCTCATCGATTAGAATTGCGATAGGAAACAAGCTTTCATCTGATACCTCCGCGGACATTGTTCTGAAAAAAGATGAAAACAAGTGCGATGGAGGGCATTTCAAAGGTGACACGATGCAACAATGTGCCTCGAGTCACCATCAGGAGAAAGAACATCAGGCTTCATTGCCGTACAACCACAGAGTTTACTTGCTTATGTTTTCCCTTAAAATGAAAAAAGAAAGAACGGATGGGAGATGAACTTGGTGATTGTCTAACATAAACATTCCGGAGTGTCTACAACTTTAAACGGTCAACCAGACGGTTTAAGAAGAAACTGACGGCATAAACACCACTGATATCGATTGGCCGCCATTTCTTACATCTTCGCCTTAAGCCTTGGGGTTGTCACGAGGAGCTTATCACCAATATGGAATGAGGTCATTTGTAAATGTACAGTTCATGGTTGTAGGTCCGCTGGGATACTGCCAAGGTAGCCAGGCCTACGGCAGTTAAGTACGGGTATGTTGTACCGTTTATTGCTGCCAATGATCATGATCACGATCATGATACGCAAGCATAAGTAGGAAGACGCTTAAGGTTCTGCAAACCTTTCACTGAAAACCTGAAGGCAGCGGTGGATGGCGTAAGGTCGCTACAAATGTTTCAACCCTAGGCCCGGAGGACCATAAACCAACCTGGATGAGAAGCTCTACGTATGCTTCCCAGTACAGCCCCACGGGTAATAGAAGTTCACACCGCGTTAAGGTTGTCTCTTCTTGACGGAACGAGGAGTCGATCCTGGGAGGCAGACCGCACCAACACTTCGTAATCTCTACCACACCCCTCTACCAAGTCAAATGTTGTCTACCTCGCAGTTTACACTATCCGGAAGGGGGCACGGTACTCGGTAGACAATGTCCTGACATGCATAACACATGGCTGAACATACAGGGAGATACGTAACTGAATAACATTCTGATCGGGGTCAAAGGTCTGTTTACCTCAATTCCAAAAACTAGATAAACACAGATAGTTGTGAAAAGCGGGCCAAGAGTGCCCTTAAATTCACAGCGAGTAGTGAAAATTCTGCTTCATGTGCCCAAAAGACTAGGCTAATTTCATAATCTTGTAATAGTAGACTGACTCTGATGTAAATTCAAATTCGACCCTCCACAGAAAACCACGCACAATATAGCCGGCAATTCAGAAAATACAGGATGAAAAAGCGGACTTGATGACCAACTGGTTTCTACAGCAGGCAACGCAGATATCATTTCGTACCGGAACGAGATCGCTACATCTTTGTACAATGCCGTGAATTTTGCCTGTGGTATCAGCTGGCTCAACCTGGAGGCGTTACTAGTTTGGGCACACCTCCAATGGTGTGTGCACTCTATTTCATTATATCACCTGTCTGGTAAATGTTGACGCTGAAAAACGACCCTTGAAAAAACTTGCAAAACGCTACGGTGATGTCACGAGATAATTCAATTTGAAGGTGTAAATCCAACTAGTCTCCGACATTTTGGCTCTCTTCCAAATGATCCGACCTCAGGATGTCAGTTGGCAAAAGAACGACATTGCCACATCTCTGCACCGTGCAAGGAGCTTCATCCATAGCACAACACCGCACGCCTCACTGAGGTGCTTGGATAACAGTAATAGTAATAATAATATAACAGTAATAACAATACTGTCAAGCTGTAACCCCTCTCGGTGCCTTGCTGCCACACTATCAGAGGGAAGCACAAGAGCTGATATAATGCTAGGTTGCCCTAGACAATCGAGATGTTAAGGTTTGGTTCGAACCCATGGAACCTTCCTGCCAGTAAGCTCGTGCGCTGACCGGTGAGCTACCTCGAAGTGACACTGCTTGAATCCCCAAGCAATGTTCCCGCCGGTGCCAAACAAGTAAACCCGGTGAACCACCAAACGTCACGCAAAGAACGGCGTGTGCACCGACCATGAAGCCTAGGGGACGCGGACAGCTAAGGAAAAGTAAGAGAAAAAGAATGCCAGAAATGCCTTAAGGTTACTTCGATTCATCCATGTGGATGAACTACCGGAAGCAGTCGGTGGGCGAAACGATCAAGGATCAAACGGATGCAACCACTTTTATCAGAGGACACCTTGACCATTGGGCTGCGCACTTTGAAGAGCAACTTTCGGAGCCACCTGCCGCTACTCAGTGGGAGTATCGAAATCCATCAGTACTCCTGGTAGTGAATCTGGAACCAGAACGGTCTCAGAAGTTTACGACTGCATGATTTCTCTCAAACGCCACCACGTTCCAGGTCCGGATGACCTTTAATCTGCATTGTTCAAGCACTTGTTTGATCCACTTACCTGCATCTGCGAAAAGATTCTCGAAGACAAGTGGGGAGAATCCGTGATTGTGCCTATTTCCAAAATAAGGCTCGTATTGAGTGCGGTAATGATAGGGAAATCAGCCTGGCTCTAATCGTCCTATGATTGTCCGTGAAGAGTTGACTTGACAGTAGCTGGTGGGGTTTTGGCCTGGTAGGAAATGTCTACTATATCTTACGCTACATCAAAACTACAGCATAGTCATATGTATAGGCGATCCGCAGTCTTGGTATTTAGGGGCGTACCCAACTAAATTGATTGATTTTCCATTACATGCTTGGTCAGCAAGTTTGTCAGTTTTTGTACCCCTGAGAAAACTTCGAGGCCTCTATTGAAACCCTCCAAATCCACAGCGTTTTACGCATTTTGAAAGTTGTGTGGGCCCCGGATGTCCTTTTAGGTCTGTGAACGAGTCTTGGGTGGCATTTACCACCTTGAAACATCTACCGCCGAAAACAGATTGGAAAACCCTTGAATCTCAGTGGACGTATCGGGCTACAGTAGTTATTTTGCTGTACGACTTGGGCAACAAAACTGACAGTTCTTAAGGTATTCGATATCCGTTGTCTCAGAACCGTAGGTCACATAAGCTGGTGCCGGCGAGCGTCCGGCTGTGCAAGATATTCAATCGAAGACTGTATGCAGCAAGTTCGACACCAAACCGCCATAGGAAGTCTACCACGAAATCTCACTGCTTCATCGCAATAAAGCACCCAGGCCAGGTAGTTTGCATCCCGCACTGTTTAAAGGTGGCGAGTTCCTCGAAGTCAACTCAAAACGAGAGGAAAATTCCAGCGAAATGGCGATTCTACATTCATAATGGGTCGAAAAGACAGTGCAAAAGCCACTAGGAAATCAACCTAGTGACCATGACTTTCACTGTGCCATCTGGTGTTACCCTAAAAGTCTGTCCATCATCAGAACCGAATTCGCAAAAATCCAGCAGGGTTTCAACCTGGCCGAGGTTGCATTGACAACTCAATGGTTACGATGCTAACATACTGACCGGAGGGTCCGCGGTCCGAACCCAACCTCAGTATCTCGACTGCTCCTGTCTAGGCTTGGGTGACCTGACAGTATTTCAGCCCTCGTACTTCCTTCGGGTAGCATAACAGCTGGGGACCGAAAAGGTGTGACTACTGAACGATTATTATTATTATTGTTATTGTTATTATCAGTATTATACCTTCATCCTGTGTCAAGTGCTGGAACTACGCCATTCCTTCGAACGACAAAACAATGATCGTTTTTCTCGATCTGCTTTCGACTTAGTTTGTCGTCAGAAACTGTGCACTGTTTCACCTCATACAAAGGTTCTCATGCCACCTCCCATGGACGCGTGTGTGTCTATCGCAAACCGCCTCCCGAGTTAACTACATCCATCGGTGTCAGGCAAGGTTTTCTTCTGTTGCCCTTTCTCCTTAACTTTGTAATCGATATGTTGCTTAAGTCTTCTTTACCTGTCACTCATCCTCATCATCGAAAGTATACCATCCGTGTTCAACACCTCTAACAGCTCGGGGGTCGAAATACTAGCGGAGCATCCGCTTAGATACTGAGCACCCCAAAGATGTAGCTATTCCTTAGAAACGCAAACTATTTTAAATAACCTGAATGACTCTGCTGCACAGTTTCGTGCGATGTTTGCACCTGTAAAATGCTGCTGCAAGAGTGGCTAGGATTAAGCCGAAACATTATGCATGCGAGTGAACTGATCAACGCGGTAGATAAGTTCGTCTATTTGGCCAGCCACATAAGTCCTTGGGGACTGGTTAAAAACCAAATCACCCCCCGAAAACGGAAGGCCAGTGCAGTGTTTCAACCTGACATCAACATGACTGTCAAGGGTTTAGCGTATAATGCCACGGTCCGATCTGTTCTACTTTAAGAGTCAGAAACGTGGCCACCGCGTGTGGAGTGCCCCCGAAGTACTGCGATGGAAACACCAGATAAGTAATGCTGAGGTTCGTCGGACGGTTTTCGGCGGAGTTCACTCTCCTTTGATAGCTCAGCTGGTGAGGCATGCAGTTTGTACGCCAGAGGACTACAGGCCTCAAAAAAGCTTCCTTTCCCAACCCTGTGTCGAACAGAGAAGGCCCAAGGGAGGTCACTCAGTGACTTGGTAACAAAGCATGAAAACCGCTTGCCAATACACTCAGTCACGCTGGTAATTGTTTATTATTATTATTATTATTATTATTATTATTAGTAGTAGTAGTAGTAGTAGTAGTAGTAGCGGTAAGTGCCATCTCCCCGCGGGGACCGCGGGACGAAACAAACCAATGGTTAGTGATGAGCCTACGTCACGCAGCCGACGGCGTTCTTGAATCAAAGCTATCGCTTTCACTGTGCAGCCCACATTCCCTGTCATAACTGACAAATGGTCACTCGATATAAAAGAACTGAATGAGCCGTCACATCCGACGCGTGGCCCTCATTACTTGATTCTTCTTATCCTCGGTGAACGAAGCGGTAGCGACCGGACCGACCGTACTTTAGTGCAGGGTTTGAGCTGAAAAACTGAACTGAATTGCACATACCGAATCATCACTTACCGAAAGGAATACTGTTTTCTATGCCAAATTTAGTGGCATATGCAGAGAGTCGGTCAACTGCTGACCTGACAGAGCGGTATAAAAGCGATTACAAAGCCTTTCGTGGCGTAGGCCGTGTGATTCCTCACCCCAGTGCCTGCTTGGAGAAGCCGCAAGGTGGAACTGTAAATCTATGTTAATGGAGTTCTGTCAGTCTCTGTCCAGACTGGATATGTGTCTGGAGATGTAGGAACCTCAATGATTGTCACAAGCTAGAACTAAGTCCTTCCATCTCCACTTTTCTTCTTTTCTTCACAGCAGAGCTGTAAAGCGAATCATGGTTGTACGGCAGGAAGCATCAGTGTCCAACACTGATGCTATGCTGTCGATGGTGATGCCGTATCCTCTGTTTTGGTGCTATGGTTGGCTGTGGTTTACACTGAACTACCCAAAAGCCTCCCGGCAGAGGTGATCCCTCTGACCATTTTCGTTCACTTTCACCACGGCATGAAGGGACCACCAATCTAGGTATCAAACTCATGTCTGAAGAGGAGCCCGTTGACTTGAATATTATGCGCATTTTTGCGGACACTGTTCTGTCATTTGTAGATTGTATATCCACATAAACTACTCGAAATTGATCACCATCAACAACAACATCATCAACACCAAGGACAGCAACATCAGTGCTGACACTGTTGTTTCACGGCCGTACAACTATAAGGTTCTATTCATTACATCTGAGGCTTTAAGGGTGAAAAGAAGAGTAAAAGAGTGGGTTGGGGATAGGACCCAGTGCTGACCTGTGAAATATTCTGAGGTCCCTACACCTCCAAGCGCTCAATCAGACAAACTGGAAAGAAACTGACAGCACGAACGCCACCGACATCAAGTAGCCACCATCTCTGGTGACGTCTCCAGCCAAGCACAGGGGGGGGTCACGGGGACCCCATCCTGGAAGGTGTACAACACCATAAACTCTTCGTGGTCTCGTTCACACCCTTTTGCCAAGTCATGCGTTGTCCACCTCGCGGTTGACGCCATCCTGAAGGAGGTACGGGGAACAATAATCACCTCGGTAGAGTGTTTCGGCATGCGTAGCACATGACCGAGCCATCGTAATCGGTGGTGCTGCATGTATTCCCCAATCGAAGTATCTGCCGCACAACCAGGGACCCACTTTTTGATCATCTGGTTACTAACACGCCGACGCCATCTAAAAGCAACCACGTTTCTGAGGCATCGGTGGTAGAAAACCTGAAGACGCCTCATATCATACGTCCTCAGAGACCGTCTCACACCCACACAACGACACAGAGGCCCTACTCTAGACCGGTACACGCAACCTTTAAGATTTAGTGGTATGTCTTTTTGATGACATAAGTAATGCAAGTTAGCAAGTGTGATTCGAACCCTTGACATTCTGGCACTGACTTCAGTAGACGCGTTTCCATCAGAGCTAATACAACTACCGAGGCATGCAAAATTTTCCACAATCTCCAGTGGTTCTCCCTGAATTGTAGGCGATATGTTCGAGGACCGCACGTTCTGAAGCATGACTTTGCACTTTGAAGTTGCAACAGAACTTGTGCTTCGCTTTGATCTTCAAAGGTGAGGGCAATATCGTCTGCGTACTACAGATCGAAAAGGCTCTCACCAGCAATAATTTCAACACCGGGATTTTGAAGACCGTCCAGCGTTTGCCTCATTAGTTCATCAATTGGAGTTGAACATTAATGGAGAGTGAACATGCTCGTCGGACACCACTTTTTGTAGGGAAGCTTTTGGAGAGCTCACCATACACTCTAACCCACCCGAGGTATGCGAATATAGGGATCGGATTATGTGGACAAACTTCTGAAACATACCATGTTGAGCAAGAGTAGCTAACGGCAATGACCAATCGACAGAATCGAACGAGCCCGTCTGTACATATGGCGTTCCACTAACAGCTAACGGAGTGTGGAGATGTGGTCAACGCAGCCTCTACCCGGTCTAAATCCCGCTTGATTCTCACGAGTCAGGGCTTCGTGTGCCACCGTATGACGACGAAGAATCAGTGAAGCCAGAAGCCTTGTCACAACAGAAGTCAAACTAACACCTCTGCGGTTACTAGACTCACTGAGAGTATCCTGTTTGAAAATGGGCGCTACTATCTATTCACTTAAGTCGTCTGAAACGGTCTCTTTCTCCCAGAATCCACCAAGCTTCTCGGTCTGCACGGACACCCAGTTTCACCTGGCGCCGAATGATGCGTCGGGTGGAGTTGTGGTGGCGGCAAAGGGGAATCTGTCGCCGGGTCTCCAGCAAAGACACGGTCCTATCAGAGATGCAGTGTTTGTATGAGAGGTTAGTTCGGATGTACCGTAAACAGACGTTCCGGCTTTCAGTACCACTTTGTCCGTTTACATCCGACACCGTATCGTCCAACAGGGATTCGAGGAACTGGTTATGGTAGTTTCGTTTAATTTCTGGGTCGAGTAGCTTCTCAATCGTTCAGTGAGGTGTGCACATTTTGCATAGACCTGAAAAGCGCAACGAAAAGCAGCAACGTACAAGTGCATGGTCGGAGTCCACGCTGGTGCTCCAGAAGGAGCGGCTCGCGGTGGTCGACCCTCGCCGCTGAGGAGAAAGTATTCGAATTTGGGTGAGGGAGGGTAGAAGACGGAAAACGTGAAATTGTAAGAAAGGAGGCTTACCCGCCCTGCAATGTGCGGCAAGTAAGGCGACCCGGTTGATGGCACCAAGCGATGGCCCATGACATAAGAGTATTGTTAGCTGCAAATGTCACGGTTGTAAGAGCTGGGAAGCTGTCGGGGCGCCCACACCTAGACAGGAGGGTGCTCAACCAAAGCCTTTGGTTCAAAAGCCTAACCGCAAGGCAGCGGTGTTGGCCTGGAAATGCAAATGCATTACCATTTTTAAGTAACACGTCGCCACACATATTCCAACCCCCAACCTGGAGAGCTAGGAGACTGCGTTCATCAGACTAACAGTTGACCGACCCGGTATGAGAGACTGCGATTGTCGCGCGGACACCTAGTACGGCTCAATGGGTCGCGAAGGTTCACAAACCTTTACATCATGGTAAGGTCCTTTAGACTCGAACATCCTGTACTGCCACTGTTCATCGGTCGCAAGGTTGGTCAGCTGTCTGGCACACCTGCTAGAATTCGATACTCTGGATTCCTGCAAAAACAACCCCCCGGGATTTCTCTCGTTCCCCGCGTCGACCCCAGTGGGGCTCAGAACCCGTCACAAGGAAGGTAAAAATACGGAGTCCGATATCCTGCCATTCCAACGGGCTGTTCGCCAACATATGCTGTCGCTGAGCGTCTCTGAGCCTCCTTTTCTGGGTTATACCCCTTCCTAGCTCCGTACTTGTACCACGAGAGTCGCTCTAATCATGCTTCATCTTTTTCCTACACTCTACCGGTGTAGTCCCAGTCGCTAGGATCTCTTGACGCATCGCTAATTGTGAAGCACGACTGCTTCTTTTGGTCATGTCACCCTTACGTGATGAAAAACAGTCTCCTGAGTGGCCCTGTTGGCTTGCAGTCTGCATATGGTTGTGGAAAAGCCACAGATGTGCCCGCGATCAAAAGTCGCGTGGCGCTTGGGACGTCCGTAGAATATCGATCTCCGTGCATGCCATTTCATGCATGTATTAGAACCGACTCATCGTTTGGGAGGTCAGTGCAAAGCGAACTAGTAAGTTCACGCGCCGTCGGTCTTTGGTGACCTGTTCGCTCAGTGTTGTCTCGTCTTTGGTTGTTGATGACGGCTCACTTTTCAGCAGTACACTGAACTACGATCTATGCTCTGATACTCGCTTTGGGGGCGAGATGGCTTAGTGGTTAGGGCGCGAATTTACTAACCGGAGTGTCCGTGATTCGAGTCCGACTTCTACCTCTCGACTTTCTCTTTCTAGGCTTCGGCAACCTGGCACTATCCCAGCCCTCAGTTGGCGTGGTAGTTAGGCATCATCATCATTGTCAGCTTTAGTAACCGCGTATACGTCGTACAGTGGTTGTGGCTGCCGCAGTTTCGTTCACCAATGATTTAGGGGAGGGGGATAGGCACCGAAATGGTGTTGCAGCTGAACGATTTTTCATGCATGGGGCTCATTAAACAGCTACGTTCTACCCCCAGCGAACCAACCCATATCTCTCCTTTCACCGTTCCTCAGCCACCCCCTACACACTCTTTATCCTAACCTGATCCAACGACCACGCAGTTGCTCGCTTCTTGGTTTTCCTTCGAATATTAATGGGTCAAACTTAATGGTGCAACAAACGGTACGCACTACACAGCACTCACGATCATCTACCGATAAAGCGTGCTCCGTCCTAGCCGTTGTGAGTGAATTATTTATGCAAGGTGGGCCTCGAAGTGTCAATGTGAAGTGAGCTCGACTACAGTCAAACTGAATACCGTGGCATCTTCACGAATTCTCTTCTGTAAGTCGGACTCTGGAAGCCTACCGGACGCGACACATGCGATTCCAGTGACGTCCATGGTGTCACTTGTTCCACTGCCTTACGCTGAGCCAACCTCACCGATGGGTTGTCCCCCTGCCCACTGCGCAAGTGGTCGTTGGTTTGTTCTCTGGGCTGAGCAGTTTGACTGCAAATGTTTCGTCAATCAAGGTGATGTTAGTGCATTATTCGGGAGCAGAGTGGAGCATAGCGACGGCCCAGCTGTGCATTTTGTAGTGCTTCGATTGTTGATATACGTGCTGCTAGTTGAGGCTTACCTTCGATCAAGATCGGTTGCCTAGATGTGATCATTTTATTACTGCTACGATACATCTGATAAGGTCGATGGGTCCTATCCAGACACTATATTCTTGGTCACGTTCCCTAAGATCGTAGGGTCGTTTGTTTGAACAGCTTCAGTTCCGGTATAATTTCCTGGAACGTATAGCTGGGATCATTTTGGATTCGGGACATTCATTCCTGGCTCAGTTAACTATTTATTCAAATGTTTCCCTTCTCTGTCAAGCGGTTAAATTGTGAGTCAGGGTACGACATTTGTATATAACCTTGCATTTGGTTGACGAAATGGTGGACGTACGGCTTTTCTCGGCCCTTTGATGCCGGTTTTCACATCTCGGCAGGTTACTCTCCATTTTACTTTTCGGTTCTTGTTCATCGTATACCTGGTCTGCTGCAAATAGGTCAGCGTTCTTCCAATGGGAAGAACGAAATGGCTCAGGTGGTTAGAACGTGAATTTATTGACCGGAAGGTCCGTGATTCGAACTCGACCTCTGCCTCTCGTCTTCCCCTGTCTAGGCTTCGGCAACCTGGCAGTATCCCAGCCCTCGTGCTTCCATCGGGAAGGTGGCAGCTAGGCATCGCTACGGCGGAACGATTATTAGTATCTTCCAGTGGGGATAATGTTTTCAGTTTTCAGGCTGTAGTTCGTATTGCACCGTGCGTTGCCGTTGAAGTTTCTCATGCTGTTCGGCGTCTGTTGCTTTCGTGGTTCATACGAAGGAAGCTATTTATTGTCGGCGGAAACTAACCTCTGCATCTTTGGCGCGTTGGGAGGCGCTTTTTTCGGATGTCATGGTAACTATGCGCTGAAACGGTGTTACAGCTGAGCAAATGCAATTATTTTGGTCTGGCTAGGCGTTCCTGTTTCCATCCACAATTGCAATATCAGAATTCTGTCCATATAGGAAACCACTTACCAGGTTGCTGGAAACTCTTCAGCGACCCTGTCAGTAGTTTCCTTCATGGAAAAATGGACTCCGGTATCTCAAATATCGCATCAACTGAAACATGAGGCGGTCTTTGTGCAGCGCGTTCATTTGAAGAATATCATAAACGGAAGATTCAGTTGAGTCTTGTGGAAACTCAATTGAGTTGCAACAGTCTATTTGTCGAAATCAAAATATGTTCAACATGGGGGTTCTGACAAGGAACCGCTGCTTTGTATTATAGCATCAGCTGGTAAGACGAACCCTAACCAAGTACATTTTGTGGTAAATAGTCTGGTATCACATGGGTCTAACCCAACAAATATTTTCCGCTCGGGAACTTGGAACCTATGTATCTGTATCCGGTAACCGACCGCCCGACCATTTCCTTGTCCGATAAAGCTTGCAGTGAGAGAGATACGCTTTGTAGGCAAGATAGCCTTGAAGCGGGATTCCGACTGACCGCGTTACAGTGTCATATCTGTTAGGGTCATCAGCTGTGTTTCGTCTTCTACGCGGTTCACCATCAGAAAAGGTGGTAGCTAATAACGCGATTGAGTTGGCTGGTAGGAGTTTTCATACCTTGCTTCAGAATTCAGGTTGGATTTTCTCCACCTGACGTATTGCTCGGCTCAGAAGACCCCTCCGAAGAAAACGGTCCTTTGGCTTCCAAGGCGTTAATGACAAACAATTTTTGGATGTGTTCTGTGCTCAGCGGCCATGTTTCAGATCCGTTAAGTGGGACAGATGACACCACAAGGTCGTTCGCTCCATCCTCGGCTGCTACCATTTCAGTGCCACAAATATCGAAGGTTGGCAAACGTTCAGCCGACCTGTATTTAAGTAGTTGGTGATGAAACTTTTGAAACCAACTCACCCAGATCAGCAAACAAAACAGTGATTCTCCTGACAATGTGGTCTATCAGTATTCTTTTCAACTGCAAACCTATTCAGGTGTGCAACTCTCGAGCAAGCTTTTCGCTTGGGAAACTTGGGCTCTTCCAATCATAACGCACTGGTGGTGAAACATTTGCGATCAAATTGCCCAGATCAGCGAACAAACCAACGGTGATCATTACTGTTCAATTGCAATTAACGGATTTGTCCAACACCATTCGGTTCTTCTATAGGTGTGAGGTCTGGATTTGATTCCAGCTAATATTGTACTAACTGCACTATGGTTGCGAAGCTCAAGCTCTGTCTTGCGGCAGAATTATTTTAGTTATTTGAGGTCGTTTGTACTTCTAGGAGGTAGTATCAAACACGGTTGGTATTGTCAACGTAATCCGTCTGTCAACGAACTTCGAAAAATCTCTATCCCGGACGTGTTGCCGGTAGATAAAGAGGCTCCAAGTGACACTGATTACACGGTTGAAGGACTGTAAGGGACAGTCGTGTTTGACGCCAGTGGATGTGGTGAGCTCAGGCGAAAGCTTTTTGTAGATGTGTACATGTTTATAGGAGCAGATATAGGTCTTCAATATATAGCGGAGAATCTGGAAGGGTCGACCGTTGCCAGACGCTGCCATAGTTTCAGGTGATCGACGGAATCAAGCAGGTAAACTGAAAAAAAGCTATAATGGACATAATCTCGACTAGGGCGAAATTCGGGTTAGTTTCTACAATTCTAACTCCCGAAGATGGACTGCGCAGGATAGTAGCAAAGAGCATGTTGGAAGCTAGGGCTGTAATGGATCGCAGAGCATCAGTGACTCCTGGAGTACACTACGCTGATCAGCGGCATCGTCTCTTCATGAAAGGGCTAGTTCTGGACCTGCCTATGTGATCACCTTAAAAGTGTGAGCATTCGGTTAATTATCGAGAATATTTTATTAGCTCACTTTATCCCTATGTCCACCAAGTTTAGACATTTATCTGCCCCCCTTTAAATTCCCTGTTACATGTGACTTGTATTTATCCACTCATGTAGGGCTTGTATTCTGACTCCTGGTAATGAGCCTTCTGACCTGTACCACAGGTCTTTAGTATGTAAATGTTTTGCCTTTCTCTTTAGGTATCGCTTCTTTCTGTTGATTTGAACATTTGTGTTTCAGCCGGGTCATTCCGTCATGTCCGGGCCAGGTGGTGTAGGTGGTCCACCTAGTGGGGGACCAGGGATGCCACCGCCGCTAGGTCCTCCAGGACCGGATCCAATTTCTATGCGCCAGCGGCCGTCTGGACCTCCTCTTATGCCTGGTGGTGGAATCCCACCTGGTGCAGGTCCAGGCATCCAGGGTCCCTCGCCTCATCATCCATCCATGCGATTCCACCAAGCTGGTGCTGGTGGTTACCCAGGGCCTCCGGTGGGCGGTGGTATGATCCCTCCACATGCAAACCTGATTCCTGGTGGTGGTCCAATTCATCCGATGCATAGTGGTCCAATGATTCCTCAACATCATCATCATCCCGGTGCTATGCTTGGACATCCCCGGCCGCGTTGGATGGGCCCGTCAATCCCCCCTCAGCAACAGTCGCAACAAGGTGGGCCTCCAGGTCCTCAGCAAGGTGGTGGTCCCCCAGTTGTTTGTTCTGGGTCAGCAGGTCCAAACTCCGTATCATCTGCGGGACCAGGCAGTGTTGGTCCTGGATCTTGTGGTGGTGGAGGTGGAGGTATCGTTCAGAGTCCTGGACATCCCGGTACTCCCACCCAACATGTCCCTCCACAACACCTAGCAGTTCCTAGTCCCATAAACAGCCAGGTAAGTGTGTTGTTTTTCTTATAGTGGTCTTTCATTATGGATGAAATGTTACAATGTCTGCTTAAAACTCGGTTCCAACCGCCTATGCTAGTATGCTTATTCGCCATCCGCATACAGATTTCGAATACTAGACAGACAACCAATTTTTTAGAGGCCACGTGGTGATTGGGACTTTATTGTCCAAATGCAAGTCCACATTATTGTCCCGTGAGGTACCCGGGCCTAGTAGTAGACTCTAAATGGACAATCGACGTTGGGCCTGTTCTTTCCATCATAACTGGGTGTTTCGCAGTCCGTTGGTAGTGCTGGACAGTAGCGTGCAGAACTTGTGCTTCGCTTTGATCTTCAAAGGTGAGGGCAATATCGTCTGCGTACTACAGATCGAAAAGGCTCTCACCAGCAATAATTTCAACACCGGGATTTTGAAGACCGTCCAGCGTTTGCCTCATTAGTTCATCAATTGGAGTTGAACATTAATGGAGAGTGAACATGCTCGTCGGACACCACTTTTTGTAGGGAAGCTTTTGGAGAGCTCACCATACACTCTAACCCACCCGAGGTATGCGAATATAGGGATCGGATTATGTGGACAAACTTCTGAAACATACCATGTTGAGCAAGAGTAGCTAACGGCAATGACCAATCGACAGAATCGAACGAGCCCGTCTGTACATATGGCGTTCCACTAACAGCTAACGGAGTGTGGAGATGTGGTCAACGCAGCCTCTACCCGGTCTAAATCCCGCTTGATTCTCACGAGTCAGGGCTTCGTGTGCCACCGTATGACGACGAAGAATCAGTGAAGCCAGAAGCCTTGTCACAACAGAAGTCAAACTAACACCTCTGCGGTTACTAGACTCACTGAGAGTATCCTGTTTGAAAATGGGCGCTACTATCTATTCACTTAAGTCGTCTGAAACGGTCTCTTTCTCCCAGAATCCACCAAGCTTCTCGGTCTGCACGGACACCCAGTTTCACCTGGCGCCGAATGATGCGTCGGGTGGAGTTGTGGTGGCGGCAAAGGGGAATCTGTCGCCGGGTCTCCAGCAAAGACACGGTCCTATCAGAGATGCAGTGTTTGTATGAGAGGTTAGTTCGGATGTACCGTAAACAGACGTTCCGGCTTTCAGTACCACTTTGTCCGTTTACATCCGACACCGTATCGTCCAACAGGGATTCGAGGAACTGGTTATGGTAGTTTCGTTTAATTTCTGGGTCGAGTAGCTTCTCAATCGTTCAGTGAGGTGTGCACATTTTGCATAGACCTGAAAAGCGCAACGAAAAGCAGCAACGTACAAGTGCATGGTCGGAGTCCACGCTGGTGCTCCAGAAGGAGCGGCTCGCGGTGGTCGACCCTCGCCGCTGAGGAGAAAGTATTCGAATTTGGGTGAGGGAGGGTAGAAGACGGAAAACGTGAAATTGTAAGAAAGGAGGCTTACCCGCCCTGCAATGTGCGGCAAGTAAGGCGACCCGGTTGATGGCACCAAGCGATGGCCCATGACATAAGAGTATTGTTAGCTGCAAATGTCACGGTTGTAAGAGCTGGGAAGCTGTCGGGGCGCCCACACCTAGACAGGAGGGTGCTCAACCAAAGCCTTTGGTTCAAAAGCCTAACCGCAAGGCAGCGGTGTTGGCCTGGAAATGCAAATGCATTACCATTTTTAAGTAACACGTCGCCACACATATTCCAACCCCCAACCTGGAGAGCTAGGAGACTGTATTCGTCAAACTTTTAACCACTGAACAACCTGATATGATTGTCGAACGGACACCAGCCGGTATAGCCCAATGGGTCGTCGAGGTACAGAAACCGCCACACCATGGTAAGGTCCAGTCTCTTCATGACAGGGTGAAGATCAACAGCTGCTACCATGGCACGATGGTCGGATTTGAATGTTCAAATGCTACCGCGACTCACACTGGCTGTGACTTCGTTCTACGAAGTGCAACCACGCCATAGAAGCCGGAGGAGAGCAACCAGACAGGGACCAGCGAACCCTGTGCAAAAACGAATGATTGAGGAGAGTTGGGGGTAGGGTATAACTGTCCTTGTGATAAGCGCGTGAAGGCAGTAACGAGGTTACTACTGGATTTTTTTCATGTTGCTGGATGCGTGCTGATGCTGTCATCCTTCGAGGACGCACATCATATTATGATTACCCGACGACTGGACGTGACCACCAGTGCGTCACTCAGACACTCGACAGACTTTCAAAAGCCAAAGGGGTTATTGAAAAAAGTAGCTGTTGTACGCAGTAGCATTAGGAGTAAAATGACAGCCCCTTGGTCTGGGTCAGGTCATCTGATTCCTCAGGGAAACATCAACACCAGTTAACTCGTGGATCATACTAGCGTGGCCACAGGATATGAGCAGGACACCAGAACAAAATTACACCTTCCACAGTCCTATGGGTCAGACTTTTGAGTTCCAGGCTCACAGTGGGTTACCTGGAAAAAAACCTCTTATTCTGCCAGAATAGTTTGAGAAAACGTCCACCCACAAGGCATAGAAACGGCAGCTAGTTTCTTTTACTTATCAGTTTCAAATCCTATTACAAGCCTTGCCAAATCCACTGTCTCCTTCTAGCTCTATAAGTCTGGTGTCTAGTTGTGTTCCCTTACACCCCTCCGCCCCCCAGAAAAAATCCAGACATGCGCTACCGACACGAAGAGATCTGTCCAATGTAGTAATGCTAAATGTCAAGCAGATTTATCCCGCTCACACTTGTTGCGCTTTTAAAGTCGATATGTGATGTCTCCGAAACACATAGGCAAGGTCCTATTACGACGATGCATCCGAATACGGGTGGGACTGTTCACGTTCAAAACGTATCATTCTCCGAGTGTTGGGTGAACAAGAAGCGGCGCTGTGTGACCTCGGCTTTGTTGGTAATGTGTTGAGACAGAACTGAAGACGCTGTGTTTGATTTCATTCCTGTGAACAGTCGACTGCGCAGGTTGGCCAAGCCTGTCACAGTCCACAACCAACGGCTAGAAACACTAAATATTTTCGCTACCTCTGAATGCACCCCGAGCAGCGGCGACATTCCTATGGACAACCATATTGGAGAACTTCTCTTAGCAGCAGAATGCAAGGATATCTGCATTCTGGATGACGATATTAACATCCGTGAGAAGGATAGACATGCATGCCAACCGTCCCAGTAACAGATGTGGTGCATATGGCGGGAAATAGTCACCAGATCGCGTATGAGTGAGAAGCCATCAATACCTGCAACTTATACTCTATTCAGTTCACAATGGAGACGAAAAACCAAGCAAAGCAGGATATTTTTGAACAATGCAGCAAACAGTGAGCAAAGCATGAGCAGTTATGTGGAACGAACGATAACAAAGAATCTACAAGGTTAAACCCGTGAAAGTTTAGAGACGCTGTGTTTCTTAGCGCCCCACAACCGCAGAACAGCAATCAAACTTGCTGTGCATGATCTGGCTATAAACAGCGACCTAGTGTCCACGGCTGTCGCACTTTGCGGAATGTGTATCTTTAGGCCACGGTACGTGCCTATGCCGAAATCGCTCATCCGGGGTTGACACAGACGCGAAACAAACTAGTAAGCCGAGTGGATACTAGCATAAAACTGGAGACGGTACGAATTCGGCATTCGGTTGGGTGCATACGAAATCAAAGCTGCCGTCCAATTTTAGCTGAAAGTCATAGCTATCCATGCCCGTGATCCAGGTAGGGGAAGCAAACCCACAGAGCCGACGATTCAACATGATCTCTGAAAAAGAACCCAACCTCTATATTGGAGAGGGATCAAAACGGGTGACCAAAGAAAGCCCAAAAACGGAACATGGAAAATCGACAGGAAAGAGTCCAACTGTTGGTCAACTGATCGGCAACATCAGGCCAGAAAACTGCCAATAGGTGAAGTCACCATAAAGAAAGGCGGTCCAAAACTCATCCACCGCCTGCTTCGGTGGGCAGAACACCTCGAAGAACAGCTCAACTGGGGTGCCTAGTATAATGATCAGTGCAGCACCAGAACTAGTGGAATGTGAGCTTGACTCAAATGAAGGATGAGGGCATAACTGAAGTAAGGACGAGGAAGCATCCGCTCCTGACTTTCACCTCCGTTCTATTTAAAGGAGAATGGTTTCTTCAGTGTGAAAAGATTCGTGGAGCGTTTGAAGAATGTTGACAACCTTCTTCAATGCTGCTCTTTGTTGATCTTTCAATTCCCTCGTCGAATTATACGTTAAGGAAACTTGTTTTGTCCACTACCTACGTGCTTGGGACTTTCCATGGAAGACTAAAAATGTGGGCTATAGCGACAATATTGTCATTAGATTCAGGCTCCATACGGATACAAACTACATTTAGTCGAACTGCATAACTATCAGAGACATCAACATCAATGTTGACACTGATGCTTCACTGCCGTAGATAACCGATGTGCGGCTTACACGTTAAAAGTGCAGTGCGTGTCTGGCTATCAATCAGGCAATTTGCCAGCCAAAAATCACGTACTAAGGATACGTTGGCTTTGGCTGCAAAAGTTTATGTCACACCATCAAAGCTGCTCATGGTAACAGAACCACCAATTCGGGTAGTTAGGTGACGGATGGTAGCACTGGTGGTGAGGGAGTATGTTGAAACTGCTAAGAACCACTGTCTTCCAACAAACTTAGGTACCCCTGTAGGGTGAGGTGACGTTAGCCTATCCGTGTCTACAAGGTACACTGTACACTAGTGCTTTACGATTGTGGACTTGTCCTCAATGCAAAATGGCTAAGAGATAGTTTGTATATGACCAGCGGCGTCTTTGATGCGCTACATGTATAACATGGGAAGGCCAGATTGGCAGTGCTGAAGTACCATGAATAGTTTTCGACAAAAAAATCAAAGGCTTCTCCATTAGACTGCACCAGGCACACTGGATCCTTCATGTTCTTCGTATGCCAGTTGATCGACTGTCCAATCAAGTTCTGTCTGCAACGATAGGATGCTGATCTACAGGCTGGTTAGGGTTCTCACGAAGGAAGTCCCACAGGGCATTTATGTCCAGGTCCAATGGTCTCCTCAAGTGGAGCAGTAGCTGAATATCTCAGCGATGTCACGCAGCAAAAGTAGTGAGTGAATAACCAAGCCATTAAAACACACAAATGAGAACGTCTCTGGGGTCCGGAGACAGGTAGTTAATGAATCCAGCAGCAGATAGCCGTGAGGTGAAAAGAAGCTCAGTA